TTTTTTTGAGACGGAGTCTCGCTCTGTCACCAGGCTGGAGTGCATTGGTGCAATCTCAGCTCACTGCAACCTCCACCTCCCAGGTTCAAGTGATTCCCCGCCTCAGCCTCCTGAGTAGCTGGGACTACAAGTGGATGCCACCATGCCTGGCTTTTCTTTTTTTGTGTGTGTGTGTTTTAGTAGAGACGGGGTTTCACTATGTTGGCCAGGATGGTCTCAATCTCCTGACCTCAGGTGATCCACCCGCCTCGGCCTCCCAAAGTGCTGGGATTACAGGCATGAGCCACCGCGCTCGGCCGTCATGAGCACATTTTTAAAAAAATTCTATTTCTCTGATTTTTCAGTTTTCTTTTATTAAGCATAAACTATTTGTATGTTGACTAAAATAACGCACTTAAAACACCACGTAGAAATTGTGAACATTATGTTTTAATTACTGTAAAAATATTGTGAGCTATTATTTCCAGAGTGAATAGAATAATATAATTCAGGGATGGATGAAGTGGGTCTACTCCACACTGCCTACCTAGCGTCTCTTTATAAACAGACCTCTGGTGTCCTGAGAGCTCAAGTGGCTGCTGTCAGACATGGGTACAAATCTCTTAACCCAGCTTGTGAGGCCCTTTACAGATGGTCTGCCTGACCTCGATAGGGATAGGCCCATCCTCTCTCTTGTCCCTCCTCCTTCCCTCCCTCCCCACTGCCTATGTTCGGGCCTCCCTGCGCTGCCCTTCTGTGGCTGGGCCCTGACTCTGGGGTTTGGATGCTCTGCTCCCTCTGCCAAGGCCATGCCCTGCCCAGCTCATGCTCCCTACACCTTCCTCTGGCCAGCTGCTCCAGTCTCTCTGGGTTTGGTGTGGACAGGAGGAAGTGTGAACCACAATTCGGTTCCTGAGGAAGCCTTACCACAGCCTCCTTCACCCCATCCTGGAAAATGGAAAGCACCGCCACCCTCACAAACAACCCTGCTAACCCAAACCTTCTGTCAGGGGGTGAATTGTGCATCCCACCCCACCGTATTCCGATGTTGAAGCCCTAACCCTCACACCTCAGAATGTGACTGCATTTGAAGACAGGGCCTTTAAAGAGGTAATGAAGATTAAATGAGGCCATGAGAGTGGGCCGGAATCCAATCGGACTGGTGAGTTTATAAGGGGAATTCTAGACACACACAAGAGATACCAGGGATGCACAAGCACAGAGGAAAGGCCACGTGAGGGCACGGCAAGAAGGCGGCCGTCTGAGAGCCAAGGAGAGAGGCCTCAGGAGAAGCCAAACCTGCCAATGACTTGATCTGGGACTTCTAGCCTCCAGAACTGTGAGAAAGTGTATTTCTGTTGCTTAAGCCACTCAGTCTGTGGTATTTTGTTATGGCAGCCCTAGCTCCAATACACCTCCCAAGGCCCTTGAATCTCCATTCCTGAAAGTGTGCATCTGACACCATCAACAAGGCAACCTGGGGCGGGGAGGTGCTGGTGGGCCTGGGTTCTGTTACACTTCTTGGGGAGAAGCATGACAACAGCAGTACCAGCCCGGGTGCAGAGGGCAGGGGGTGGGGCCATGCCACAGATGGGAGGGGCAAACAGGACCCAGGATGGCTCTGAAGCTGGAGTTGGAGCAATGAGCAAGATATTTTCTTTTCTCTTATCAGTGGTAGCCAAGTTTTGTCAAATTGGACCCTATTTATATTTTGGAATCAGACTAGTTACATGAACTTTCCATTATGTATTATGCAACAAATAATGCAACAAAGATCATGCCATGGTTGGGTGAGACCCAAGGTATATTTAGCTTACTCAATTATTTTTAGGCACTCTATCTGTCCTGGGGAAGTCATTTGACCTCTTCCTACCTTTCTTTTTTCGGATGCAATGTTGAGAAGTAAACTTCCTTCATGTGAATTAATTAAGAATCGCTACCCTTGAAGGAGGTGGGAAAGGGGGGTAACAGACATTCTCAGTGGCTAAGGCTTCTAAATGTCCCCTCCCTGCTCCTGATCAAGTCTACAGGTACCCTGGAAAAAGCATCTGGGGCTGCAGAGTCAACTTCAGGAAATTCCTTCCAGCTCCATTTTAAAACACTGTTTCTGGTTCAGCTGTCCTGCCCTATCCTGGACTTCACATAGGGATTCTTCTCTTGGCCTTGCCCCCTGCATGCTAATGGTTTTCTTGGAATGCTTTTTTTGGTCCAATCTTTTCTTTTGTATGCTAAGGACTTCCCCTAACTTGGTTTCCTGGGACTGGCCTAGGGTACAGCACTCTAGATTCCTGAGGTCGTTGGCCAGATCAGCCCTTGGGTCCCAGCCACAGGGCCACAATATTATACCCAAACCACAGATTCTCCTTAAGTCTTTCACCAGAACCACACTGATGTACATATCCTCCAAATGGCATCCGGCCTAATGGGAAACAGGTCTTTGGTGCCTTTCAAATGCCACAGAGACCCAAGTGAACATGAAGGACCACTGGAGGTTACTAAACCAACAGGCTGACTGGCTCCAATGTGAGAGAAAAGGGATAAAACTGCTCTTGCCCAACTGAGCACAGCCTCTGCCACCCTCCTCTTCTCAGGGCCATGGGGCCCATTTGCTCCGAGGCAATGGCTCTTATTATGGGGGTAGTACAGATATTTCAGCCACTTTTAGTGATGTGTCAACAAACAGCAAGAAGGTAAACAATATTTCCATAGGTAGACCCACAGAAACATTCCAATTCCCACCTATTGATTTATTTAATTGCTTAAATAGAGGCTCTTATACCAATAAAGAGTTCTTATTTTCTTGAAACTGGCATTGAGATCACAAACAAAATACTATTTATCTTTTTACTAAGACAAGAACATAGCAGGCATGACGTGAGCAGATGTTGCCCTGATCATAATGGACTCATCTGTGCTCACAAGTTGCCTCTGTAATCACAGGCACCAGTTAATGACCCTTACCTGCTGCCTAGGGCTGCTTGCAGTGAACGTGGCCCCTAACTCTGGGTGCCTACCAGTGGTTTCCACCATAAGACCACAGCTAGACAACACACTTCCTCTGCCTCATGTTTAAAGACATTCTAGTCTTGAGTCACCAAAGCTGTGTCTTTGGAATCTTCAGTAAACAAAAGTTACCTGTCAGCTAAACTTCTCCCCTAAAGGGAAGCAGGGTGGGTTGGGGTGAGGGGGCTGCCTTTTCTTGTGTACCTACTTCGTATGCTTAAGCCAGCAGCCCACAGCCTCGGTGACCAATATGGATCAAAGCTACCAGCTGCTCTGATCTTGCTCTGTTATGGGTGATTCCTCTCATCACAAACATCTATGGGGGCCATCCCCCTCAAAAAGGACCAGGTTAAAAACTTGGCTCCTGAAATTATATTGGTGCTCCAAACCTAGCCCCAAGGGGCAAAGGTCATCCAAACAACAGCTAAAGGATCACTGCCTGAGACTGCTACCAATCTCTAAAGTAACTGCAAAAAAAAAAAAAAAAAATCAAAGTAAAATGTTAAGAATTGAGTATACGGATATTCACCATACAATCCTTTCAGGGAGTCTGTATGTTTATTTTTCTAATAAAATATTAAAAACAATTTAAAAAGTAAACGAAGTGCTACACAAAGATAGATACTTTGAACATAAACAGATAAACTCTATTTCCTAAAGTAAGAGCCTTTAGGAGAGATCCTATTAATCAGAGGAGGCTGAGATCCGTCACTGTAACAATTAGCTCTTATTTCCGGGGTGATAATAACCACGTTGCACAACTAGTATGGGGCATTCAATGCTTTCAGAACAGTGGTAGTCACAGAAGGGAGGGTCAAGTAGAGCTCACTCAACAGGGGTCCACTTCAGAAGGTGGGAACTACGGAAAGCAGAAAACCTTGGCATGATAGCTCCAGCTCCCCACCCCTCCCCTACACCAGCCCCCAACACCCTCCAGCTGCATTAGGCAGATGGTGGGGGAATTAAGCTTGCTGCCACAGACCACAAGTCCTGCAGGGGCAGGAGAACCAGTGAGCAGATTAAGCCCTGGATCCTCTGTCCCCCAAAAGCCCCTGACCCATTTCTCTGTTGGGAAAGGAAACTGCTGTGGTAAGACAAGCAGAGGGGCTGAGAGGCTCTGGCCAACACAGGCAGTTTCAACAAGTGTTCTATATATATATATATATATTTTTTTTTTTTTTTTTTTTTTTTTTTTTTCTGGAGGGAACACCCAATGGGAACGGTGAAGAGTGACAGGGACATCAGAGAATACATGTGCTTTAACAGGGGGCCACGCGGTTAACGTGTCAACCACGTGTGCTTTTCTTACAAAAAATAAAATTCCGCCATCCTCCCCGCTCCGCACCACACCCCGCCAGGTTTCAACAGCACGGACTCCAGGCCATGAGTGCAGTGCCGCCGCGCCAGAGACAACAGGTGTTTCGGGAAAAGACCTCTGGGGGCTGGGGCTATCTCCAGACCCTGACATGGGCACAAGGGGCAATGGATAGTGAATAGGCCTTGGCCAAAGGATGGGCCGGGAAGAAAGAAGCATCCTTTCCTCGGAAGAGGGGAGAGATCCGAGCACCAGCGGAGCCTTGCAAAGTGAAGGTCTGGGCTGTCCCGGCCCAGGAGGGCCAGAAACTAAACTTCCTAAAGACCACGCAGGCAGGAACTCGGGGGCCTGCCCCATTCTGTGCTAAAGGATCCAGGCTTGTTCTGAGACGCCGCACGGTGGGCTCCTTTCCTTTGCGGCCCCTCGGCCGTCCAGGGTCTTGGAACTGGTGTTTGGGGTCTGTCTTTCTAACCGACCAACAAAGGCAGGCTGGGTGCCTGGGCCGGCTTCCACGGGCCCGAAGTGCTTCCCGGCCCGCTGGGCAAGGACTGGGGAGCTCCGGCAGGGTCTGAGGGAGACCTGGGAGGGGCGGGGACTGTAAGGGCAGCAGGTGACAAGCCGCGCCCCGACCGAAGCTCTCGGCTCCGGGATCGTGAGCGACCCAGGTGCCCCCAGAGTCCAGACGGTCTCCCGCGGCACTTACGCGCTCGTGGGTCCTCCGCCGGGCAGAACCGAAACTTTCTGGGGCCAAGCGGAAGAGGATGGGACCGCGCTGCCGACTGCCATGACACGCACACCCGGCGGCTGGCGGGGGCGGACTACAGCTCCCGGCGTGCTCCCTGGGGCTGAGGCCTACAACTCCCGTCGGACCCCCCCGGGGCTCAGACTACAACTCCCGGCGACTCCGCAGGGCCAGGGTTAACTGCTCCCACCGCCCAGTCCCCGGAGCGCCGTCCCACCCCACGACCCAAGCTGCCCCGGGTTAACCCTTGCAATCCCGGAGGGCCACAAATCAAATGTCTGGCATCTTGACAAGGCTGTTCTTGTGTGGCTACGGAGCACTCCAAATGTAGCTAGTTCGAGTTGAATTGTGCACGTGCTCTACGTGTGAAATACACCTACGTACCAAAAAGTCCGAAGAATGTTAACTAGCTCATAAATTTTTAGTGATTGCGTGTTAAAATGATAATATTTTGATATATTGGGAAATAGAAAAACATGTATTGGTGGGCCGAATTTCTCATCTTTTAATCCAACTTACTTCTTAATATCAGGGTCTTACTTAAAATTAGTGCTCAAAAACTACGTGTTTATGAACTACCACCCCTAACTTTGGCCCCATCCTCAGCCCACCTTCTGTTTATAAGATGGATGTTGCAAAGCACTCTGGAACTGCATATGATAGAACAAAATGCATTCAATCAATGTCTGTTATGGGGACAGTAGTAAAGAGAAATGCTAAACGGGGACTTTGGCCTGTAACTGACTGCATTCCTTAGCTGTGGCTGGCTATCCTTTACTCTCTGCCCTAGTTCTCATCATTTAAGCCAGAAACACCTCTCTCCCTCGTAGGACCTAGCTCGTGGTATCCAGTCAGTAACTGTGGTGGCCCAACACCCTTCTAAATTGAGGAAGCAGGGTGTTGTCTGAGTAGAATGATACAGAAAGAAAATCAATTTCTTAGTTGAGTTTAGGCTATGACATCTCAGCCATCTAATTTTATAAATTAGATGTAGCTAAAACAATGAGTTAGAGGGATAGAGTTGTCAATTGGGGGTGGGGTTGCGAGGAGGTACATGAATACAAGTGATTTTCACTCTTGTTAACAGAAAGGAAAACAGAAAGAAAAAGGGGAGAGTGAGAAGATGATAAAGAGAAAAGTAATCAACGTAGTGGTCTAAGAGAAATCATTGCTCCAACCACTATCTCAACAGCTTCATGCAATATTAAGGATGAGAGAGATTTTAATGTTGGTCATCTGGTCCAATATCCTTGTTTGAAACTGTCCCGGGGGAAAGGGGGAAAAAACCTCCCTCAAACCGTGTTTTTCCTCTACTCTTACACAACAACAACAATCATCAACACAGGAGAATACTTTGGTGACCAGATGTGTATGGGGTTTTCCCCACACACTGAGCAGCGGACCACACCTGGGTGTCCTCCAGTTCAATTCTGACACTATCTACCTGGAGTATCAGATCTCACAAGTGGAGGGCTCAGTCCCCAAGACTGCCTCCTCACCTTTAAACACCAGTTGTAAGTCTGGGCCTCTGGAACTTCTGAATGACTGACTTCAAGTTGGGTTCCCATGACACCCTCTTTGGGTTCAGCTAATTTGCTAGAATTGGAGGTTCATAGAACTCAGAGAAACACATTTACTGGTCTATTATAAAGGATACTGCAATGGATGCAGATAAAGAGACACGTAGGATGAAGTGTGGGGGAAGGGGCGTGGGGCTTCCGTGGCTTCCCTGGGTGCACCACTCTTCAGTAACCTCCACGTGTTCAGCTATCCGGAAGCTCCCTGAATCCAGTCTTCTTGGGCTTTTATGGAAGCTTCGTGATGTCAGCATTGCTTCCCCCAGGGTATAGGGCAGGACCCTCTCTTGGGAGGGTCTTAAGACCTACAATCAGAAAGTCAGGGGAAGATTAGAGTCCTGCCTTAGAGCAGGTGAAAGGAGGGCAGAAGGCCAGAGAGACTCGGTTTCCTGAAGCCTAACATACCTAACATAACAAAAGACTGTAACAAGGGCTATGGGAGTTATGAGCCAGGAACTATGGATGAAAACCAATATAAATAGATAGGTAGGTAGGTAGGTAGGTGGATAGATAGGTAGATAGATAGATAGATATCATAATATCACAGAAACTTAGACCCAAAAGCAGTTTGAAAAGAAGAGGAAAACAAACCTAGTATTTATTGAGGACCTATATGCCAGTCCATAGCCCCCGCCCCCAAAAAACAAAAACAACAACAGAAACCCATACAGCATTGTATTTAAAACTTGCAGCCACTCTGTGACATAATTAGTATTCATTATCCTACTTTGAAGATGAGGAGACGAAGCTCAGAGAGGTTAAATGACTGTCCTTGTCCACCCACCTAATAAGTGGTGGAGAGTGGTGGAGGCTGGGGTAGAGCTGGAGGCTCCTGAGGGGTCTTCCGTCACCCAGCACACTGTCAGATACAGGGAAGGTTAACAAAATCACTACTGTTCAGGTAGTTTAACATGGATTTCCTTTATAGATACAGCTGAGTATTTCAAACTATCATCTTTCAAACAAACATACAAACAAATGCGGCATATTCTTGGGTTCTGATGTGAATACATATTAAGAGATCAGATTCAAAATCACCAAATCCCCACATCCTCTCCTTACAGCCTTAACAAGCAGCAGAAGAGGAGACTATTCCTCACTGGAAGCTGACCATACCCACAGCCCTGATGAGGGATGAGGCTCTTGGAGTGATTGTCAAGGGCTTTGTATGTGCCAGGTGCCATGTTACGTGTATTCCACACCTGGTTTAATTTTATCTTTATATCAGTCTTATGATACATAATTATCCCCATTAAGCAGATAAGCAAACAGCCTTAGAGAAGTTAGCTAATTTGCCTAAAGCCCAAACCTTATAGTGCTAGAGACAAATTTTGAGCTCAGGTCTGTCCGATTAGAGTTTAAGCCTTTAACCACTGTGATGGCAGCTCCTTCCGTGGGGCAGCCATGTGCTCTGCCAAGGACCCTACCATTGTGGCCCCTGCTGGTCAGGCCAGAAGTGGATGCCAGCCATGCCAATGGCCTGGGGTGGCAGTTCAAAAGAGTCAGCCTCCTCTTGATAGTCACTGGTCAATTAATCTCTCTGCTGGAAGATTCAAGTGTAAGACCCACAGAAGGAATCAGAAGTTGATTGCAGAATCAACAGCTCTAAGCTGGTTGAGCTATCTTCCCCTACAGAACACAGAGTTTCAGTAACGACTCATAGACAATGCAGAAGGATGTGGACCTCAGGGCTCCGGAATTTGTTTTGAATTCTGACATATATGTTTTCCAGAATTTTTTCTTCATGACTCTACTATTGACTTTTCTCCTCAACCCTTCATCAACTGAAAACTTTTGAAATTTTAAAATAAGCTCTTGATAATACAGAGTTAGACTTTTTCCATTTTGAGTGATAGTAATAGAAAATAGCATTTCCCACAGAATAAGGGCACTATTCTTCCTGGTTCACCCAAGAGAGCCCGTTATCCCAGCATGAATATTCATAGCACTTCTGTTCACTCCCAGTGGTGTCCCATTTTCTCAATACATTATAGTTACTGTTCGGGAAAAACTCTCAAACCGGTTTTCCTCTGTTGTCACACCACAACAATCAACACAGAAGACTTCTGTATTTCCTGAGGATTCCTTTCCACCAGCAAGCAAGCAATCACTTCTGCAGCAGATACCAACTGGGTGTCCTCCAATTCAATTCTGTCACTGTCTACCTGAAGATGGTGTCAGATCCTGCCATTTTGGGACCCAGAACCCAAGAATCATGCTTCCCTCCTTAGATACCAGTCACAAGTCCAGCCCTCCAGAACTTCTCACTGACCAGCTTTGAGTTGGGGTTCCCAAGACTTCCTCTTTAGGTTTGATTGGTTTACTGAAGCACCTCACAGAACTCAGGGAAACACATTTACCGGTTTATTAAAAGGATATTACAAAGTATACAGATGAAGAGATGATACACAGGGCGAGGTACGGGGGAAGAGGCGCCAGAGCTTCCATGCTCTCCCTGGACATGCCACCTCCCAGGAACCTTCACGTGATATGGAAACTCTACGAACCCAGGCCACTTGGGTTTTTATGGAGGCTTCATTATATAAGCATGATTGATTAAGTCATTGGCCATTGGTGATCAACTTTACCTTCAGCTTCTCTCCCCTCTCAAGAGGTTGGTGGTGGAGCTAAGTCCCAACCCTCTAATCATGCCTCTGTCTGTGGTGACCAGCCCCACCCTGAAGCTGTCAGTCTGTTAGTGCAGGTAGCTAGACAGACATGAGCAGGGCAGGAGACCCCCTCACCCCTGCCAAGGAATGTCAGGCAACCATCAGGTGATTTTTAGGAAGGAGGACGAGGAATCTCACATACAAATTTTCCTCCATTTCTCAAATCACTTCCATGCCCTTGCCAATATGCATCCAGACCTTTAAGGTCATATTTGAAGGGAAAGAAGTCCATTCCATTGTGGCAGCTGGCTGAGCTGGTATAGACACAGGCTTCTCATCTACTTTAAGAAAAATGGGAAATGAGGTGGTAAAAAAAGAGATACTCACTTTGTTGCTAGAATGCGCTGAGAGAGTCACTATAAGTTCGTAGATAGAAGGATATAGGCTGGCCCAAGGCCACAGGATCAAGAGACAAAAGTACCCACAGGACAGAAATGAAGGCTGGTCCCAGGCTACAGGCACAGAATAGATTACCCTAGAGCAGAGATGAAGGCAAGGTTAGGGGTACCCATAAGATCAATTCATTCTGAAACTCCAAGGATGAATAAGGGGCCCCCTATTCACTCTGGTGTCTCCTCTCTTCTCAAATGGATAATCGTGATAAGATGGGAGTGAGGTTAAGGGTACCAGGTAAGACCGGTTCACTCTGGAGCCCCAAGGATGAATGGGAGATACCCTGTTCAGGAAAGGATAATAGGGAAATAAGAGAGGACACTTTCTTTTTCCCTTTTTTTTCCTCCTCTATTTTCTCTTCACAGATGGATAATCATGTATTCATACCATGGGACATGCCCCTCGGATGCATCCTC